GAGAGTGGATTACCTGCCATAAGAGCATGATGGACAGCGTGGAGGACCTGAACTGAGGAGCATGATGGAGAGAGTGGAGGACCTGACAGAAGAGCATGATGGAGAGCGTGGAGGACCTGACTGAGGAGCATGATGGAGAGTGTGGAGGACCTGACTGAGGAGCATGATGGAAAGTGGAAGACCTGACTGAGGAGCATGATGGAGACTGTAGGACCTGACTAAGGAGCACGATGAAGAGTTGAGGACCTGACTGAGGAGCATGATGGAGAGCGGAAGACCTGACTGAGGAGCATGATGGATAGCGTGGAAGACCTGATTGAGGAGCATAAAGAACAGAGTGGAGGACCTGACTGAGGAGCATGAAGGAGAGCGAGGAGGACCTGACTAAAGAGCATGATGGAGAGTATGGAAGACCTGACTGAGGAGCATGATGGAGAGTGTGGAGGACCTGATTGAGGAGCATGATGGAGAGTGGAAGACCTGACTGAGGAGCATGATGGAGAGTGGAGGACCCGACTGAGGAGGATGATGGAGAGTGGAGGACCTGACTGAGGAGGATGATGTAAAGCGTGGAGGACTTGACTGAGAAGCATGGTGGAGAGCGTGGAGGACCTGACTGAGGAGCATGGTGGAGAGGGTGGAGGAATTGACTGAGGAGCATGATGGTGAGCGTGGAGGACCTGTCTGAAGAGCATGGTGGAGAGCGTGGAGGACCTGACTGAGGAGCATGATGGTGAGCGTAGAGGACCTGTCTGAAGAGCATGGTGGAGAGCGTGGAGGACCTGACTGAGGAGCATGATGGTGAGCGTGGAGGACTTGTCTGAAGAGCATGGTGGAGAGCGTGGAGGACCTGACTGAGGAGCATGGTGGAGAGCGTGGAGGACCTGACTGAGGAGCATGGTGGAGAGCGTGGAGGACCTGACAGAGGAGGATGATTGAGAGTTGAGGACCTGACTGAGGAGCATGATGGAGAGAGTGGAGGACCTGATTGAGGAGCATGATGGAGAGAGTGGAGGACCTGAGAGAAAAGCATGATGGAGAGCGTGGAGGATCTGACTGAGGAGCATGATGGAGAGAGTGGATTACCTGACATAAGAGCATGATGGACAGCGTGGAGGACCTGACTGAGGAGCATGATGGAGAGAGTGGAGGACCTGACAGAAGAGCATGATGGAGAGCGTGGAGGACCTGACTGAGGAGCATGATGGAGAGTGTGGAGGACCTGACTGAGGATCATGAAGTAGAGCGTGGAGGACCTGACTGAGGAGCATGGTGGAAAGTGGAAGACCTGACTGAGGAGCATGATGGAGACTGTAGGACCTGACTAAGGAGCATGATGAAGAGTTGAGGACCTGACTGAGGAGCATGATGGAGAGCGGAAGACCTGACTGAGGAGCATGATGGATAGCGTGGAAGACCTGATTGAGGAGCATAAAGAAGAGAGTGGAGGACCTGACTGAGGAGCATGAAGGAGAGCGAGGAGGACCTGACTAAAGAGCATGATGGAGAGTATGGAAGACCTGACTGAGGAGCATGATGGAGAGTGTGGAGGACCTGATTGAGGAGCATGATGGAGAGTGGAAGACCTGACTGAGGAGCATGATGGAGAGTGGAGGACCTGACTGAGGAGCATGATGGAGAGTGGAGGACCAGACTGAGGAGGATGATGGAGAGTGGAGGACCTGACTGAGGAGGATGATGTAAAGCGTGGAGGACTTGACTGAGAAGCATGGTGGAGAGCGTGGAGGACCTGACTGAGGAGCATGGTGGAGAGGGTGGAGGAATTGACTGAGGAGCATGATGGTGAGCGTGGAGGACCTGTCTGAAGAGCATGGTGGAGAAGCGTGGAGGACCTGACTGAGGAGTCATGATGGTGAGCGTAGAGACCTGTCTGAAGAGCATGGTGGAGAGCGTTGGATGACCTGACTGAGGAGCATGATGGTGAGGTGGAGGACCTGTCTGAAGAGCATGGTGGAGAGCGTGGAGGACCTGACTGAGGAGCATGGTGGAGAGCGTGGAGGACCTGACTGAGGAGCATGGTGGAGAGCGTGGAGGACTTGACTGAGGAGCATGATGGAGAGGGTGGAGGAATTGACTGAGAAGCATGGTGGAGAGGGTGGAGGAATTGACTGAGGAGCATGATGGTGAGCGTGGAGGACCTGTCTGAAGAGCATGGTGGAGAGCGTGGAGGACCTGACTGAGGAGCATGATGGTGAGCGTGGAGACCTGTCTGAAGAGCATGGTGGAGAGCGTGGAGGACCTGACTGAGGAGCATGGTGGAGAGCGTGGAGGACCTGACTGAGGAGCATGGTGGAGAGCGTGGAGTACTTGACTGAGGAGCATGGTGGAGAGCGTGGAGGACCTGACTGAGGAGCATGGTGGTGACGTGGAGGACCTGTCTGAAGAGCAGGTGGAGTAGCGTGGACGGACTGATGGCAGGTGGAGAAGTGGAGGACTGCTGAGGAATGGTGAAGGAGGACCGATGAGGAGGAGAGGGGAATGGAGGAACCTGACTGGAGACTGGAAGAAGGGGAGACCTGCTGAGGAGAAAGATGAAAGTGTGGAGAGGAAAGAATGAGAGATGGATGCACGGATAAGGAACTCATAAGATGAAGAGAGGATCTGGTTGAAATGAGGGTTGAGGGAGCTGAATGAGGAGATGAGGAAGTGGAGAGTGGAGGATTGAGAAGTGAGGACATGATGAGGGTGAGGATGAGAAGCTGGGACCTAAGGACTGAAGGGGACATGATGGAGGGGAAGAGACCTTGAGGAGATGAGGAGGGGGCCTGACTGGAGGAATGGAAGAGTAGAGATGATGGAATGAGGACCTGAGAGAGAGATGGAGGAGCCTGACTGAGGGAGGATGGAAGAGTGAGGACCGATGAGGGCATGAGGAAGAGAGGATGATGAGCATGAGGAGATGAGGTGGGGAAACTGACTGAGGAGCATGATGGGAGTGATGGAGCTGAGAGGAGAATGATGGGGACTGGAGGAGACTGAGAGAGAGAGAGAGGGCAGACTGAGGGAATGATGGGGCTGAGGAGGACTGATGAGAGATGAGGAAGTGAGGATGGAGAGTGAGGAGATGAGAGGTAGGAGAACTGATGGGGCAAGAGGCGAGAGATGGACTGGAAGTGGAGAGATGGAGAGCTGGATGAGAGAGATGAGACTGAGAGGAGAGAGTGAGAGGACCTGAGGAGGGAGATGTGAGGGCGATGAGGAGTTGAGGATGAGGAGAGGAGACCAGAGGAGATTGATGAGAGACTGAGGACCTGACGTGGAGGAGGAGTGATGACATGGGAGGGACTGACTGGAAAGGAGACTGATGGAGAGGTGGAGGAGATGAGGACTGATGGAGAGATGAGGCTGAGGAGACTGTGAGGATGCGAGGAGCCTATGAGGAGCATGCTGATGAGGGAGATGAGGAGATGGAGGACTGATGGGAGAGATGGAGACTGACTGGAGACGTGAGGAGCTGATGGGAGCCTGGAGGAGCATGATGGGAGGAGAACCTTTAGAAGACTGAGAGTGGGAGAAGATGGGAGCATGATGGGATGTGAGGACTGACTGAGAGCATGAGAGCGTGGACATGAGAGGATGGAGTGAGATGGAGTGAGGACGATGAGGACAGATGGAGAGTGATGAGAGAATGATGAGTGGAGAGATGAGAGGATGTAGGAGCATGATGAGAGATGAGGACTGATGAGAGATGAGAGTGAGGATGAGGAGCGATGATGAGGACATGACTGGAGAGAGTGTGGAGTGACTGACAATGAGAATGAGGCTGATGGAGAGCTGAGAAGATGGAGAGTGACTGGACTGATGAGGACTGATGATGGAGAGATGGAGAGGACTGGGGACTGAGAAGGATGGAGGAAGTGATGGAGCTGAGAGACTGAGATGGATGATGAGGAGATGAGACTGATGGGACATGGATGAGAGAGATGGAGGAGTGTGAGATGAGAGGAGAGGAGACTGACGAGGGAGGATGGAGGATGGAGATGTAGATGAGGATGAGTGAGGACGTGGAGACGTGAGAGACTGAAGATTGGAGGAGCTGAGGATTGATGAGAGGCAGTGAGGATGGTGACTGATGAGACTGATGAGAGGATGATGGAGAGAGGAGGCATGAGAGATGAGGATGATGGAGGAGCATGAGAGGAGCTGAGGAGATGAGGAGGAAGGTGACTGAGAGATGAGGATCTGATGGCAGGAGAGAGATTGATGAGGAGAGCATGATGAGAGTGATAGGACTGACTGGAGGAGAGATGGAGTGACTGAGGACTGATGGAGAGGTGGGGATGATGATGAAGAGATAGGACGTGGAGGATGACTGAGAGAGAGATGGAGAGAGCGGAGAGCTGAGAGGGATGGAGACTGAGGAGTGGGAGAGGATGAGGAGGACTGTAGGAGATGAGGAGAGAATGAGAAGGATGGGAGGGTGATGGAGTGCTGGAGATGACTGAGAGAGATGAGAGGAGGGGAGATGGAGGAGATGAATGGGAGAGTGGAGACCGTGAGAGAGGAAGCGAGGAGGAAGAGCTGATGAGAGAGATGGGGACTGAGGCAGTGAGTCGTGGGAGTGGAGATGGCATGATGGAGGGGGAGTGGGACTGGGATTGGGGACCGAAACATTGTGGCTTAAGAATGGTTCAGGGTAGACCGAAATATTGTGACTTAAGAATGGTTGAGAATGGACTGAAACATCGTGATAAGGTTCTTCACCTAAGTGCAGGTTTTTGGTAAAGATTTTTAAGATGAAAGTGTCTGGTAATATATTACAAGTTTTAGCAATATTTTTGCGTCAACATTGTTATTGAAGACTTTGACTGATTTTAAAAATAACAGTTGTAAGTAAATTGTCAAATATTGTAAATAATGTTCGCTAGATATACGACAATTGTTGTATCTTATGGCAACATTAGGTCAAAATCTTTATTATGTTTGTGTAGTGAGTGTATTATCCAGGTGGGACATTAACCCCCGGTGGTGTGTGTCAGGGGGACGTGCCCTGGTGGAAGAGCACCTTCTTCGTCAGCGAGCGAGTGCTCTTCGGGACGTGGGACGGCGTCTTCACCTCCTGTCTCGTCAACCTGTTGGGTGTCATTGTCTTCCTGAGGGCAGGCTGGGTCGTAGGGGAGGCGGGCGTCCCTTTGGCAGCTCTTGTTGTCCTCGTCTCAGGTAAGAGAGAGAGAGAGAGAGAGAGAGGGGTAAATGTATGGGGTAGGAGGGGAGGGAAGACCGTATAAAAAACAACAGAGCTCTGAATATCACAATGTTTGCTCCCACCTGAACTCCTCGACTTGTCCTTCCACTAAACATTGAAAGCCATGTAAAGTTATGTAAAGTATAACGCTGTACAGGTGAACATAGAATAAGTTTACAGCTATACTGGTGAATCACAAACATGCCTATTAAATTTAGATCCAGTTGATCTTAGATAATGAGGAGCATATCTACCGTCTTAGCGTTTTCTCTTCAGCTCACGTTTTAGCTTAAATGTGTTAGGGTTTGATTCTTCAACGAAAGAGATGAGGGTAATGAAGGTACCTAGGTGCTGGTGACTGACTCTTCATCTAACACACTGCACCTACTTTTTCCTTCCTCGGCTCAAACATGATTGTCTCCCAGTCCCCAAGCGCTGTATAACTAGTAAGAACGGTCTTACTGCTTTTCCTTGATTATTATTAATAATAATAATAATAATAATAATAATAATAATAATAATAATAATAATAATAATATAATAATAATAATAATAATAATAATAATAATAATAATAATAATAATAATAATAATAATAATAATAATAATAACTAAGAATACGTACTTTTACTTGTCAGAGAATTCAGAAATTATTGTATCATTAACGAGTGTCAGCATCCTCATCACCAGCATCAGCAATCTCATCACCAGCGTCAGCAGTCTCATCACCAGCGTCAGCAACCTCGTCAGCCAGCGCCAGCAACTTGGTGTGATACGTTATTGATCATGCATAACGATATATAATGACGTTTGCGAGCACTGGCACAGGTGTGTGTGTGTGTGTGTGTGTGTATGTGTGTGTGTGTGTACTCACCTAGTTAAGGTTGCAGGGGTCGAGTCCCAGCTCCTGGCCCCGCCTCTTCACTGGTCGCTACTAGGTCACTCTCCCTGAACCGTGAGCTTTATCATACCTCTGCTTAAAGCTATGTATGGATCCTGCCTCCACTACATCGCTTCCCAAACTATTCCACTTACTGACTGCTCTGTGACTGAAGAAATACTTCCTAACATCCCTGTGATTCATCTGTGTCTTCAACTACCAACTGTGTCCCCTTGTTGCTGTGTCCCATCTCTGGAACATCCTGTCTTTGTCCACCTTGTCAATTCCTCTCAGTATTTTGTATGTCGTTATCATGTCCCCCCTATCTCTCCTGTCCTCCAGTGTCATCAGGTCGATTTCCTTTAACCTCTCCTCGTAGGACATACCTCTTAGCTCTGGGACTAGTCTTGTTGCAAACCTTTGCACTTTCTCTAGTTTCTTTACGTGCTTGGCTAGGTGTGGATTCCAAACTGGTGCCGCATACTCCAATATGGACCTAATGTACATGGTGTACAGGGTCCTGAACGATTCTTTATTAAGATGTCGGAATTCTGTTCTTAGGTTTGCTAGGCGCCCATATGCTGAAGCAGTTATTTGCTTGATGTGTGCCTCAGGAGATGTGCCTGGTGCTATACTCATCCCAAGATATTTTTCCTTGTGTGAGGTTTGTAGTCTCTGGCCCCCTAGACTGTACTCCGTCTGCGGTCTTCTTTGCCCTTCCCCAATCTTCATGACTTTGCACTTGGTGGGGTTGAACTCCAGGAGCCAATTGCTGAACCAGGTCTGCAACCCGTCCAGATCCCTTTGTAGTTCTGCCTGGTCTTCGACCGAATGAATTCTTCTTATCAACTTCACATCATCTGCAAACGGGGACACTTCGGAGTCTATTCCTTCCGTCATGTCGTTCACAAATACCAGAAACAGCACTGGTCCTATGACTGACCCCTGTGGGACCCCGCTGATCACAGACGCCCACTCTGACACCTCGCCACGTACCATGACTCGCTACTGTCTTCCTGACAAGTATTCCCTGATCCATTGTAGTGCCTTCCCTGTTATCCCTGCTTGGTCCTCCAGTTTTTGCACTAATCTCTTGTGTGGAACTGTGTCAAACGCTTTCTTACAGTCCAAGAAAATGCAATCTACCTACCCCTCTCTCTCTTGTCTTACTGCTGTCACCATGTCATAGAACTCCAGTAGGTTTGTGACACAGGATTTCCCATCCCTGAAACCATGTTGGCTGTTGTTGATGAGATCATTCCTTTTTAGGTGTTCCACCACTCTTCTCCTGATAATCTTCTCCATGACTTTGCATACTATACATGGCAGTGTATGTACTCACCTATTTGTACTCACCTATTTGTGGTTGCAGGGGTCGAGTCATAGCTCCTGGCCCCGCCTCTTCACTGATTGCTACTAGGTCCTCTCTCTCCCTGCTCCATGAGCTTTATCATACCTGTGTGTGTGCATGTGTGTTGCCGGGTGAACGTGAGAGGCTGCAGTGCAAGCCAAGGAGAAAGAAACATCTTGGGTTGAGTGTGTTGCAGGATGAACCTGAGAAACTGCAACACAAGTAAAGGAGAAAGGAAACGGAATATGAATTAAGAAAATTTATTTTACAATCACGTTATAAACAGCTTGGCAGCCATATCCTCTTGACTGGGTGTGAGCTATGGTGTTATGGTACTAACATAGTAACCGTGTTGAGCTGCGTAATGATGTTACAGTGGTGGTGGTGCTGACCTCAGTGGTGTCAGCTGTGGGTATCTGCGAGAGGACGAGGATGGAGAGTGGTGGTATCTACTTCCTCATCTCCCATGTCTTGGGGTCACAGGTCGGAGGTTCGGTGGGACTTGTCTACTGCTTCGGTCAGGTGAGTGTCAACATGTGGGTCAAGTAAGTTCCAATACGTAGATCAGGTGAATGTCAATAACTGGGTCAGGTGAATGTCAGCACGTGGGACAGGGGAGTGCCAAGGCTGTGTTGTCAGCATATTAAACTGGAATTGCATTTATATGCGAATTAGGTAAAAGTTATATTTTTTATTAACACATCAGCCGTCTCCCACCAAGGCAGGGTGGCCCGAAAAAGAAAAACTTTCACCATCATTCACTCCATCACTGTCTTGCCAGAGGCACGATTACACTACAGTTATAAAACTGCTGCATTAAAAATACTTATACAATAAAAATTGTTACTAGCTTGGTGAAGGAAGCCTGGGAGCCGCGGCCACGTCAGGTACTGAAACACGAGTCTTACTTCCCCTAGACTTAGCGAGGGTTATTATCACCATTTTGATCGTAATTCTGTATAAACCAGCAAAAAAAAAAAAATACATTAATTTCAAAACGAATATACATTTGAAGCTATATTTTAATGTGTTAGAAGAATATTTTAAAGACGTAGATAAAATGGTACATAAAAAAGACACATTAATCTAAAATGTTATTTATCTGATTTCCGGTGACAACTGCAGACAGTGTTGGTATTATACAGTAAAGATGTGGTTAAATTACTATTTCTGGTCTTAACTGGATGTGCCTCAGTAGTGTCGAGGATTTAGTTCTCAGGGGAATGAACCAGAGTAATAATTTTTATCATTTACTGCTATACATACTCTCATCTCTATCTTTCATCTTTGAGAGTCCTCACTGACTATTATAGAGTAGCACCTTACAATCTCATATGTATATTTTTTAACACTGTCTAGAGGACACATAACATGATGACTGCCCTTGTATCTCAGACGGTGGGGATCTCACTGTGTGTCACCGGCTTCGGGGAGTCAATGGCAGAGTTGGTGTCAGTGCCGGGGATGTGGGCGGAGAAAGCCATGGGGTGTGGCGCTCTCCTGCTGCTGGCGCTCATTAATGTGGCCGGAGTGAAGTGGGTGATCAAGGTACAGTTCATCCTGCTGCTCCTGGTGGTCCTGGCTGCCCTTGACTTCCTCTTCGGCAGCTTCCTCGACCACTCTGATGGTTAGTATTACCCTCGACCACTCTGATGGTTAGTATTACCCTCGACCACTCTGATGGCTAGTATTACCCTCGACCACTCTGATGGTTAGTATTACCCTCGACCACTCTGATGGTTAGTGTTACCCTCGACCACTCTGATGGTTAGTATTACCCTCGACCACTCTGATGGCTAGTATTACCCTCGACCACTCTGATGGTTAGTATTACCCTCGACCACTCTGATGGCTAGTATTACCCTCGACCACTCTGATGGTTAGTATTACCCTCGACCACTCTGATGGTTAGTGTTACCCTCGACCACTCTGATGGTTAGTATTACCCTCGACCACTCTGATGGTTAGTGTTACCCTCGACCACTCTGATGGTTAGTGTTACCCTCGACCACTCTGATGGTTAGTATTACCCTCGACCACTCTGATGGCTAGTATTACCCTCGACCACTCTGATGGTTAGTATTACCCTCGACCACTCTGATGGTTAGTGTTACCCTCGACCACTCTGATGGTTAGTATTACCCTCGACCACTCTGATGGTTAGTGTTACCCTCGACCACTCTGATGGTTAGTATTACCCTCGACCACTCTGATGGTTAGTATTACCCTCGACCACTCTGATGGTTAGTGTTACCCTCGACCACTCTGATGGTTAGTATTACCCTCGACCACTCTGATGGCTAGTATTACCCTCGACCACTCTGATGGTTAGTATTACCCTCGACCACTCTGATGGTTAGTGTTACCCTCAACCACTCTGATGGTTAGTATTACCCTCGACCACTCTGATGGCTAGTATTACCCTCGACCACTCTGATGGTTAGTGTTGTCATAGTTTCTATCTATCTCATTTCCTAACAGTATGTATAAGAGAACCCTCGTTGCCTGCTTGAGGGTGTGGAAATAGAGATCACTTTCTATCGGGAGAACCCTCGATGTCTTTCTAGAGAGACACTGTCTAGACTGAGCCTTGTATCTTTCTCAGAAAGGAGGAGTATACTTTCATCAGAGGAGATAGAACTGAGATGTAGATGAGAGAATGAGAGAGATACCGAAGAGAGAGAGACAGATGGTAGGTAGATTATATTTTGTATTATTTACGACAGTTATAAAGCTTTCATAATTGTGAGAACCACTTCAGATACTATATGAAAATGTTTTAACGAAAGATAATTTAAGAAAAAAAGCCGCAAATCAAATGTTATCCATGAGTTAAGTGAGTGAGCGAGCAGAGGATGGTAGAGAGCAGCGGAGGATAGTGAGAGCAGCAGCGGGAGGATGGTGAGAGCACGGAGTGATGGCGAGAGACAGCGGTAGGATGGTGAGAGAGCGCTGAGGATGGTGAGACACGCGGAGGATGGTGAGAGCAGTCTGGAGGATGGTGAAGCCCAGACGGGAGGATGGTTTGAAGCAGCGACGGAGATGGATGAGAGCAGCGGGAGGATGGTGAGAAGCAGCGGGAGGACGGTAGAGAGCAGCGGGAGGACGGTGAGAGCAGCGGGAGGATGTGAGAGCAGCGGGAGGAGATGTGAGAGCAGCGAGAGGATGGTGAAAGCAGCGGAGAGGATTGTGAGAGCAGCGGAGGATTGTGAGAGCAGCGGGAGGATGTGAGAGCAGCGGGAGGATTGTGAGAGCAGCGGGAGGATGGTGAGAGCAGCGGGAGGATGGTGAGAGCAGCGGGAGGATGGTGAGAGCAGCGGGAGGATGGTGAGAGCAGCGGGAGGATGGTGAGAGCAGCGGGAGGATGGTGAGAGCAGCGGGAGGATGGTGAGAGCAGCGGGAGGATGGTGAGAGCAGCGGGAGGACGGTGAGAGCAGCGGGAGGATGGTGAGAGCAGCGGGAGGATGGTGAGAGCAGCGGGAGGATGGTGAGAGCAGCGGGAGGATGGTGAGAGCAGCGGGAGGATGGTGAGAGCAGCGGGGGGATGGTGAGAGCAGCGGGAGGACGGTGAGAGCAGCGGGAGGATGGTGAGAGCAGCGGGAGGATGGTGAGAGCAGGGGAGGAGGTAGGATGGGAGAGCAGCGGGAGGATGGTGAGAGCAGCGGGAGGACGGTGAGAGCAGCGGGAGGATGGTGAGAGCAGCGGTAGGGGAGGATGTGAGAGCAGCGGGAGGACGGTGAGAGAGCGGGAGGATGGTGAGAGCAGCGGGAGGAGTGAGAGGCGGGAGGTGGTGAGCAGCGGGAGGATGGTAGAGAGCAGGGGAGGATGGTGAGAGCAGCGGGAGGATTGGTGAGAGCAGCGGGAGGATGGTGAGAGCAGCGGGAGGATGTGAGAGCAGCGGGAGGATTGTGAGAGCAGCGGGAGGATGGTGAGAGCAGCGGAGGATGGTGAGAGCAGCGGGAGGATGGTGAGAGCAGCGGGAGGACTGTGAGAGCAGCGGGAGGATGGTGAGAGCAGCGGGAGGATTGTGAGAGCAGCGGGAGGAGGTGAGAGAGGGGTTGGTGAGAGCAGCGGGAGGATGGTGAGAGCAGTGGGAGGATGGTGAGAGCAGCGGGAGGATTGTGAGAGCAGCGGGAGGATTGTGAGAGCAGCGGGAGGATGGTGAGAGCAGCGGGAGGATTGTGAGAGCATGGGCGGGAGGAGGTGAGAGCAGCGGGAGGATGTGAGAGCAGCGGGAGGACGGTGAGAGCAGCGGGAGGATTGTGAGAGCAGCGGGAGGATTGTGAGAGCAGCGGGGAGGATTGTGAGAGCAGCGGGAGGATTGTGAGAGCAGCGGGAGGGATTGTGAGAGCAGCGGGAGCGTGAGAGCAGGGAGTGGTGAGAGCAGCGGGAGGATTGTGAGAAGCAGCGGAGAGGTGAGAGCAGCGGGATGAGAGCAGCGGGAGGATTGTGAGAGCAGCGGGAGGATTGTGAGAGCAGCGGGAGGATTGTGAGAGCAGCGGGAAGGAGTGTGAGAGCAGCGGGAGGATGTGAAGAGCAGCGGGAGGACGGTGAGAGCAGCGGGAGGATTGTGGGAGCAGCGGGAGGATTGTGAGAGCAGCGGGAGGATTGTGAGAGCAGCGGGAGGATGGGTGAGAGCAGCGGGAGGATGTGAGAGCAGCGGGAGGATTTGAGAACAGCGGGAGGATGTGGTAGAGAGTGAGCAGCGGGAGGATGTGAGAGCAGCGGGAGGATGGTGAGAGCAGCGGGAGGATTGTGAGAGCAGCGGGAGGATTGTGAGAGCAGCGGAGGATGGTGAGAGCAGCGGGAGGATGGTGAGAGCAGCGGGAGGATGGTGAGAGGCAGCGGGAGGATTGTGAGAGCAGCGGGAGGATTGTGAGAGCGCGGAGGATGGTGAGGCAGGGAGTTGTGAGAGCAGCGGAGGATGGTGAGAGCAGCGGGAGGATGGTGAGAGCAGCGGGAGGATGTGAGAGCCGGGGATGTGAGAGCAGCGGAGGATGGTGAGAGCAGCGGGAGGAGGTGAGAGCAGCGGGAGGATGGTGAGAGCAGCGGGAGGATGGTGAGAGCAGCGGGGAGGATGTGAGAGCAGCGGGAGGGAAGGATGTGAGCAGCGGGAGGATTGTGAGAGCAGCGGGAGGATTGTGAGAGCAGCGGGAGGATTGTGAGAGCAGCGGGAGGATGGTGAGAGCAGCGGGAGGATTGTGAGAGCAGCGAGGGTGAGCACGGAGATTGTGAGAGCAGCGGGGGGGATTGTGAGAGCAGCGAGGAGTGAGGACGGAGAGGTGAGAGCAGCGGGAGGATGGTGAGAGCAGCGGGAGGACGGTGAGAGCAGCGGGAGGATGGTGGGAGCAGCGGGAGGATTGTGAGAACAGCGGGAGGATTGTGAGAGCAGCGGCAGGATTGTGGAGCAGCGGGAGGATTGTGAGAGCAGCGGAGGATGATGAGAACAGCGGGAGGATTGTGAGAGCAGCGGGAGGATGGTGAGAGCAGCGGGAGGATTGTGAGAGCAGCGGGAGGATTGTGAGAGCAGCGGGAGGATTGTGAGAGCAGCGGGAGGATGGTGAGAGCAGCGGGAGGATTGTGAGAGCAGCGGGAGGATGGTGAGAGCAGCGGGAGGATGGTGAGAGCAGCGGGAGGATTGTGAGAGCAGCGGGAGGATGGTGAGAGCAGCGGAAGGATGGTGAGAGCAGCGGGAGGATGGTGAGAGCAGCGGGAGGACGGTGAGAGCAGCGGGAGGATGGTGAGAGCAGCGGGAGGAAGGTGAGAGCAGCGGGAGGATGGTGAGAGCAGCGGGAGGATTGTGAGAGCAGCGGGAGGATTGTGAGAGCAGCGGGAGGATGGTGAGAGCGGCGGGAGGATGGTGAGAGCAGCGGGAGGACGGTGAGAGCAGCGGATGGATGGTGAGAGCAGCTGCAGTAGTAAACACAGTCACACGATGGATAATTTAAGAGACTGTAAGCAACAATCGCGGCACCGAAGGCAGTTGTTGTCTTGTGCTTGTGATATGTTGGTAATAAGTTTAAGGAATATAACTTGAAGACGCTTTAATGTTGTCAGTAAAGAGGTTGATGAGTTGCCTCGTCTGGTGAGTCTTAGAGAGAGTCCTTCCCTCTTAGTTTGTTGAGTACCTTCCCTCTTGGTTTGTTGAGTACCTTCCCTGTTGGCTTGTTGAGTACCTTCCCTGTTAGCTTGTTGAGTACCTTCCCTGTTAGCTTGTTGAGTACCTTCCCTGTTGGCTTGTTGAGTACCTTCCCTGTTGGTTTGTTGAGTACCTTCCCTGTTAGCTTGTTGAGTACCTTCCCTGTTGGCTTGTTGAGTACCTTCCCTGTTGGCTTGTTGAGTACCTCCCCTGTTGCCTTGTTGAGTACCTTCCCTCTTGGTTTGTTGAGTACCTTCCCTGTTGGCTTGTTGAGTACCTTCCCTGTTGGCTTGTTGAGTACCTTCCCTGTTGGCTTGTTGAGTACCTTCCCTGTTGGCTTGTTGAGTACCTTCCCTGTTGGCTTGTTGATTACCTTCCCTCTTGGTTTGTTGAGTACCTTCCCTGTTGGCTTGTTGAGTACCTTCCCTGTTAGCTTGTTGAGTACCTTCCCTGTTGGCTTGTTGAGTACCTTCCCTCTTGGTTTGTTGAGTACCTTCCCTGTTGGCTTGTTGAGTACCTTCCCTGTTAGCTTGTTGAGTACCTTCCCTGTTGGCTTGTTGAGTACCTTCCCTGTTGGCTTGACGAGTACCTTCCCTGTTAGCTTGTTGAGTACCTTCCCTGTTGGCTTGTTGAGTACCTTCCCTGTTGGCTTGTTGAGTACCTTCCCTGTTGGCTTGTTGATTACCTTCCCTCTTGGTTTGTTGAGTACCTTCCCTGTTGGCTTGTTGAGTACCCTCCCTGTTGGCTTGTTGAGTACCTTCCCTGTTAGCTTGTTGAGTACCTTCCCTGTTAGCATGTTGAGTACCTCCCCTGTTGGTTTGTTGAGTACCTTCCCTGTTGGCTTGTTGAGTACCTTCCCTGTTAGCTTGTTGAGTACCTTCCCTGTTGGCTTGTTGAGTACCTTCCCTGTTGGCTTGTTGGGTACCTTCCCTGTTGCCTTGTTGAGTACCTTCCCTCTTGGTTTGTTGAGTACCTTCCCTGTTGGCTTGTTGAGTACCTTCCCTGTTGGCTTGTTGAGTACCTTCCCTGTTGGCTTGTTGAGTACCTTCCCTGTTGGCTTGTTGAGTACCTTCCCTGTTGGCTTGTTGATTACCTTCCCTCTTGGTTTGTTGAGTACCTTCCCTGTTGGCTTGTTGAGTACCTTCCCTGTTAGCTTGTTGAGTACCTTCCCTGTTGGCTTGTTGAGTACCTTCCCTGTTGGCTTGACGAGTACCTTCCCTGTTAGCTTGTTGAGTACCTTCCCTGTTGGCTTGTTGAGTACCTTCCCTGTTGGCTTGTTGAGTACCTTCCCTGTTGGCTTGTTGATTACCTTCCCTCTTGGTTTGTTGAGTACCTTCCCTGTTGGCTTGTTGAGTACCCTCCCTGTTGGCTTGTTGAGTACCTTCCCTGTTAGCTTGTTGAGTACCTTCCCTGTTAGCATGTTGAGTACCTTCCCTGTTGGTTTGTTGAGTACCTTCCCTGTTGGCTTGTTGAGTACCTTCCCTGTTGGCTTGTTGAGTACCTTCCATGTTAGCTTGTTGAGTACCTTCCCTCTTGGTTTGTTGAGTACCTTCCCTGTTGGCTTGTTGAGTACCCTCCCTGTTGGCTTGTTGAGTACCTTCCCTGTTAGCTTGTTGAGTACCTTCCCTGTTAGCATGTTGAGTACCTTCCCTGTTGGTTTGTTGAGTACCTTCCCTGTTGGCTTGTTGAGTACCTTCCCTGTTGGTTTGTTGAATGCCTTCCCTGTTGGCTTGTTGAGTACCTTCCCTGTTAGCTTGTTGAGTATCTTCCCTGTTGGCTTGTTGAGTACCTTCCCTGTTGGCTTGTTGAGCACCTTCCCTGTTTTCTTGTTGAGCACCACCCACTTACAGCAGACCAATTGCAGAGAGCATTCGTTTCCTTGAGACTACGTGTATGAGATGAATCCTGCATGTGTAGTGGATGTAGGTGGTGGGTGTCAGTTGGAGACATTAGCAGAGGCCACAGTCTCTAATGTTGATCCTGGCTGATGGCTCGAAGTTTCCGTGTTCACTCATTTGGGAGATTTGTTGAGCCACCTGCATGCCCTCAGTGACCTGACCCAACACACGACCTGACCTGCGGAACATCCAAGTACGTATCTGAGACTGTTTTATATTTTGGGAAAATACATTGGGCGAGATATGAATGCTGAAAATGAAAGAGATAGTACATGGATAGACGAGGAGGATCTTTCATCGATTCTAAGTTTAAATTCTGTCTAAATAAACCTTCATTCTGAGCTCACCTGATAAGACTGTCATTGAGGCAGATCTTCATCTGCGGACCCAGAATCCAGGTCATTGTGCCCAGGTCAAAGTCAGCAGCCACTGCTACCACGGCGCCCCGCAAGTCCCTGTAACCCGTGTCCTGCTGGGGCAGGGACGCTTTTTCAGAAGGAAGGTACTGTGTTTCGGGACGGGATGGGACATCACTCGGGCTACTTATTAACATTTCACCACTATCCCACAAATTAAAAATGAAAAAAAAATCCAGTCCGTCTTTGTTATTGGTTCAGAATGGATCGAAACGTCTAGTTTCTATTTCCCATTTGTAAATGTATTTTGATTTTTATTATTTTTATTCATTAGCACATTTGAAAAAAATATTATCATCACCCTCGCGGATCTGAGTTAGTGATCTTGATAAAAAAAAAAATTGTATGGCACGGAAAGGAACTAAATTATAATTACTGCATGCATTGGTTTGACATCATCAAAACAACTCTGAATCGCTGGCTCTCGCTATCTCTCTCTGTGTATTTGATTGTCTGTTCACCTATGTGCGAGAGAGCAGCCCTATTCCTTAAAGACCCGGTAGCTTATTCCCTCCACCTTTCCCGTCGTACCTGTTCCTCGGCTACTCCTATGTACCCGTTGTGAAGGATGCGGGGGCAAGCCTCGCTATCGGAGCTTTTCTTTCTGTCGCGAACAAAATGCGCTCCTTCTCTCTCATCTTCGTCGCCGTCGTCGTTTTCTAAGGGGTCCCAGTAGTGTCGCTGGGGAGGGAGGGACCGCGGGGCGTCATACAAGAGGTCGCCCAGGAGAATCCACTCGTTCTGACAACAGGCAAACACCCGTGACCCCTTGTACCCGAAACCATTCCTCCCCGTCAGCAAGGCTTCGAACTCCGACCCTAGCTGTCCTGTTCCCTCCAGCACCTGTAGATACACAAATAACCAGTGTAGGTTTGAATCTGTGGATAAGAGGACAGAATCTGTTGATAATACAAATGAGGATGTGGAATGGATTGTACTTGCCAAAATTAGCAAATAGGCAAGGCTTGCTGAAACTTATGAATAAGGGCATTTATTTTTACTACGTGAGGTAGAAAAGACAGATAATGGAGGTCTATGGTCAATATTGAAGGCAACACAATATCTTGTAGTACATGTGTAGGATATTTTATTATCAGTAGTAGTAGTAGTATTACTGTATTGCGATAAGCCCGTATTGGCTCGATCCTCTTTCCACTAATAGCAAGAGAAACTATTATAGCAGTCAGGCTTTCCCTGGAGAATAATGGGAGCACAGACGTGAGGGTAATGGCAAGACATTGATGCTCACTAATTATGTATTTCATGGGGATATGATAAACCCCTAGGGATCATACAGCGCCTGCGGAGTATGGAGGAATTAAGTCTGATCAGAAGAAGGGGAGAGTAGTGCGAATTCCTTGGATTAAGAGCCCCTCACCAGCATCTAGACACCCCCCTTAAAGGGTTTAAGGCCTACAGAAAAAAATAGAGAACTGCAGGTCAGGATGTTTTGGAAAGAAAGCGAAGGATTGACAACTATCCATGACGATTCACAACTGACATCCACTAAGTGACAGAGCACTGCATAAATCCATTTTAACGCTATTTAAAGTGAGTTTGATGAATAGGAAGTGAGGACTGAAGCCAGTAAGAAAATCAGCTTGTGAGATAATTTAAAAGTTAAGTCTGAGAGGTGCTTTCTTAAATGCCTTGTCGTATATTATAAATAAAAAATGCTTTTATAAAGAAGCAGAGAGGGTTTTAATAGAGTCCTTGTAAGTCTTTCCTGGTTAAATAAAACGCTGGAGTTTGATCACAAACTTCAGCTTTATGGTATTAAGTAACTTGGTGTAGTCATGGTTAACTAAGTGCTACATAGGAATATCAACAGCAGCATTAACAACAGGAGCGGCAATGAGACTGGTGAAGCTGGCTAGCCTCTCACCTTGATTACAATCCTTCCCAATGGTTGGTCCTGCAAGGAGAAGTCAATAAAAAAGTTCTTGCTGGAAATGGCGGCTGGGACGAGAGTTGGGGAGAACTGAGGCGAAGAGCCACCTTGTAGGCTTTGAGTGATGCCAGAGAACAACTGAGACACCATTCTCTCTTACACCTGGAGGAGGAGAAGAACCTGTGTTACTACGACCGTGTGTGTGTGTGTGTGTGTGTGTGTGTGTGTGTGTGTGTGTGTACTCACCTAGTTGTACTCACCTAGTTGAGGTTGCGGGGGTCGAGTCCGAGCTCCTGGCCCCGCCTCTTCACTGATCGCTACTAGGTCACTCTCCCTGAGCCGTGAGCTTTATCGTACCTCTGCTTAAAGCTATGTATGGATCCTGCCTCCACTACATCGCTTCCCAAACTATTCCACTTACTGACTACTCTGTGGCTGAAGAAATACTTCCTAACATCCCTGTGATTCATCTGTGTCTTTAGCTTCCAACTGTGTCCCCTTGTTACTGTGTCCAATCTCTGGAACATCCTGTTTTTGTCCACCTTGTCAATTCCTCTCAGTATTTTGTATGTCGTTATCATGTCCCCCCTATCTCTCCTGTCCTCCAGTGTCGTCAGGTTGATTTCCCTTAACCTCTCCTCGTAGGACATACCTCTTAGCTCTGGGACTAGTCTTGTTGCAAACCTTTGCACTTCTCTCTAGTTTCTTTACGTGCTTGGCTAGGTGTGGGTTCCAAACTGGTGCCGCATACTCCAATATGGGCCTAACGTATACGGTGTACAGGGTCCTGAACGATTCCTTATTAAGATGTCGGAATGCTGTTCTGAGGTTTGCTAGGCGCCCATATGCTGCAGCAGTTATTTGGTTGATGTGCGCTTCAGGAGATGTGCCTGGTGTTATACTCACCCCAAGATCTTTTTCCTTGAGTGAGGTTTGTAGTCTCTGACCCCCTAGACTGTACTCCGTCTGCGGCCTTCTTTGCCCTTCCCCAATCTTCATGACTTTGCACTTGGTGGGATTGAACTCCAGGAGCCAATTGCTGGACCAGTTCTGCAGCCTGTCCAGATCCCTTTGTAGTTCTGCCTGGTCTTCGATCGAGTGTATTCTTCTCATCAACTTCACGTCATCTGCAAACAGGGACACCTCAGAGTCTATTCCTTCCGTCATGTCGTTCACAAATACCAGAAACAGCACTGGTCCTAGGACTGACCCCTGCGGGACCCCGCTGGTCACAGGTGCCCACTCTGACACCTCGCCACGTACCATGACTCGCTGCTGTCTTCCTGACAAGTATTCCCTGATCCATTGTAGTGCCTTCCCTGTTATCCCTGCTTGGTCCTCCAGTTTTTGCACCAATCTCTTGTGTGGAACTGTGTCAAACGCCTTCTTGCAGTCCAAGAAAATGCAATCCACCCACCCCTCTCTCTCTTGTCTTACTGCTGTCACCATGTCATAGAACTCCAGTAGGTTTGTGACACAGGATTTCCCGTCCCTGAAACCATGCTGGCTGCTGTTGATGAGATCATTCCTTTCTAGGTGTTCCACCACTCTTCTCCTGATAATCTTCTCCATGATTTTGCATACTATAATGTCAGTGACACTGGTCTGTAGTTTAATGCTTCATGTCTGTCTCCTTTTTTAAAGATTGGGACTACATTTGCTGTCTTCCATGCCTCAGGCAATCTCCCTGTTTCGATAGATGTATTGAATATTGTTGTTAGGGGTACACATAGCGCCTCTGCTCCCTCTCTCAATACCCATGGGGAGATGTTATCTGGCCCCATTGCCTTTGAGGTATCTAGCTCACTCAGAAGCCTCTTCACTTCTTCCTCGGTTGTGTGCACTGTGTCCAGCACTTGGTGGTGTGCCCCACCTCTCCGTCTTTCTGGAGTCCCTTCTGTCTCCTCTGTGAACACTTCTTTGAATCTCTTGTTGAGTTCTTCACATACTTCCCGGTCATTTCCTGTTGTCTCTCCTCCTTCCTTCCTTAGCCTGATTACCTGGTCCTTGACTGTTGTTTTCCTCCTGATGTGGCTGTACAACAGTTTCGGGTCAGATTTGGCTTTCGCTGCTATGTCATTTTCATATTGTCTTTGGGCCTCCCTTCTTATCTGTGCATATTCATTTCTGGCTCTACGACTGTTCTCCTTATTCTCCTGGGTCCTTTGCCTTCTATATTTCTTCCATTCCCTAGCACACTTGGTTTTTGCCTCCCTGCACCTTTGGGTAAACCATGGGCTCATCCTGGCTTTTTCATTACTCCTGTTACCCTTGGGTACAAACCTCTCCTCAGCCTCCTTGCATTTTATTGCTACATATTCCATCATCTCATTAACTGGTTTCCCTGCCAGTTCTCTGTCCCACTGAACCCCGTTCAGGTAGTTCCTCATTCCTGTGTAGTCCCCTTTCTTGTAGTTTGGCTTCATTCGTCCTGGCCTTCCTGCTTCTCCCTCCACTTGTAGCTCTACTGTGTATTCGAAGCTTACAACCACATGGTCACTGGCCCCAAGGGGTCTTTCATATGTGATGTCCTCGATATCTGCACTACTGAAGGTGAATACTAAGTCCAGCCTTGCTGGTTCATCCTCTCCTCTCTCTCTTGTAGTGTCCCTTACGTGTTGGTACATGAAGTTCTCCAGTACCACCTCCATCATCTTAGCCCTCCAAGTATCTTGGCCCCCATGTGGGTCCAAGTTCTCCCAATCTATCTCCTTGTGGTTAAAGTCACCCATGATCAGGAGCTTTGCCCTGCATGCATGAGCTCTTCTGGCCACTCTAGCCAGTGTGTCAACCATCGCTCTATTGCTCTCGTCGTACTCTTGCCTTGGCCTCCTGCTGTTCTGTGGTGGGTTATACATCACTGCTATTACCACCTTGGGACCTCCAGAGTGAAGTGTTCCCACTATGTGTGTGTGTGTGTGTGTGTGTGTGTGTGTGTGTGTGGGTAAATGGGTGTAATTCGTAAATGAGAGTACAGTAAGACGATGTAGTGTTCCCTCGGCACGGTTGTTACCTGCAGAATAAATAGATGAACCAGGTGTTACTCGTGTACTGAACAGGTTAATTATAATTATCATGTTCCTGAGAAGCACCAAGAAAGACGCATTAGCAACTTTAGGGAAGCTATGGATTGACAAAGTTTTAGTGAGGGAAATATCTTTAAATAAAAGTTTCCTAACATTGCATACGTGTCTTTCCTATACGTCTGTGGTATTGATAAACCTAATGTCACACAAGAAGCGCTAAACTTGCAGGAGTCATACAGCTCCTGAATAAGTATGGAACCAATGTTTTAAATATGGAACATATTAAACATGCTTGGAACAGAAGTCCAAATGTTGACAGACCAAGTTTAAGATTGTTCTCGCTAAGTTTGCTTTTCCGTATGAAATATTCAGGTGTCACAAGCGTCTCTCAGAATACTTTCTTCAAAAATGTCTTGGAGAGAATAATACTTTTTCTATATTTATCTTAGAACACATCACAAACATGCAAGATGCTAGAAAGTAGATATAATGAAGAAATATTACACAACTGTTAATGCTCACAATATCTCCTAATATTAATGTAATAAAGTTGGTAGAATTACCGACAATATGTAAAGTAAAAGGACATAAGTGCAACTAATGTGACATTTATTGTGGCAACGTTTCGCTCTCCAGGAGCTTTATCAAGCCATTACAAACAATACATGGACACAGAGGGTATATAAAGGCTCTGAGTGAGGTGCAATACTAGTGAGGTAACATTTCGATGTTCACTAGTGGTAGTGGTAGTAGTAGTAGTAGTAGTAGTAGTGACAAAAATAATACAATAAGGAAGAGCAATTAATTCGTACATGAGTAAAAGGATATAAAAGCTATTACTTGGGTAACCAAGTAATAGTTTACTATCACTACCACTAGTGAACATCGAAATGTTACCTCACTAGTATTGCACCTCACTCAGAGCCTTTATATACCCTCTGTGTCCATGTATTGTTTGTAATGGCTTGATAAAGCTCCTGGAGAGCGAAACGTTGCCACAATAAATGTCACATTAGTTGCACTTGTGTCCTTTTACTCCTAATATTAATGTTCAGCAAATTTGTGTTATTAATTACTTATCTTCTCTACTCGCTAATGACATAATTGTTGGTTTTAGGAACATAAGAATAGAGGAACACCGCAGCAGGCCTACTGGCCCATATTAGGCAAATTCTTCTCAAATCCAACCATTGATACATACACATTTGTCCATTATATTCCTAGAGTCACCCAGGAAATCAGCCTCAATAACCCTAATACAGTCGATGTTTGGTTGTTCTTACTCAAATTTAACCCTTCTCACTCATACAGTTGTCTAACCTTGCTATATAATACCTTGGCTGTGTGGAAACTTACTGAGTTATGTTTTGTGTGTTAATACCATGCTAAGTGACTGTTGCAGAGCCAGGAGTGACGGGTTGGTCTGCTGTGACGTGGACCAACAACACGTCCCCAGGGTACACGCAGGGCACCTCCTGGTTCACAGTACTGGGTGTCTTCTTTCCCAGTGTGACGGGCATCATGGCTGGAATCAACATGAGCGGTGACCTGCGAAACCCAGCCAGGGACATTCCTGTTGGGACACTCTCCGCCCTAGGCCTAAGGTACGCCCACCCCAGCTCACACTGACGCCCACCCCAGCTCACACTGGCACCCACCCCAGCTCACACTGACGTCCACCCCAGCTCACACTGGCACCCACCCCAGCTCACACTGACGCCCACCCCAGGTCACACTGGCACTCACCCCAGCTCACACTGACGCCCACCCCAGCTCACACTGACGCCCACCCCAGCTCACACTGACGCTCACCCCAGCTCACACTAACGCCCACCCCAACTCACACTGACGTCCATCTCTGTACCATTCGCAGGATGTGTATAGGGTGCATAATAAAGATATTATTAAACTAACTGACTCATCTCTTCTGTAACTCCTTATCTCTCTTCAGCTCATTTGCAATATCTAATGCCTCTCTGTCTTCCTTATATTACTGTATATCCAACAAGTTGATTGCACAGAGACTTTAACTGCCATTACCCACACTGGTTTAGGGCTTCTTGAAATACAGTGCAAGACAGTCCTGAAATATATTATGCCTTTTATCATTCCTGCAGTATCTTATGCATCTTTATCTCTTCTGCAGTACTGTTCTTTACTTGGTGTTTGTGGTAGTGTTGGGTGCTACTGTGGAAAGGAAAGTGCTGCTCAATGATTATATGATCACGGAGAAAGTGTCAGCTCTAGGTGAGTCACCTTTATATCATACTATAGAAAACGGACTTCTATTCAATACCGGTTTTCTAATTTCACGATGAACTGCTGTAAAATAAGAAGAGTTATGACCGCGGAAATATTTTACGTTAATTAAGTTTTATTGAAAGTCATTACTTAAGTTGAGATTTTTAAATATAGTCTTGCATATTTACTTACGTGTCAGTTAATTTAGGATAATCCAATTGGTTAATTTACACATTGGTTGACTTTTGGGTAAATACCACTCACAAGTTAACATATAAATAATATTTCATTTTAAGAAAAATGAACGGTGAAAAGTGTGTATGATTTAGCGTAAAGAAGCCAGTTTGTATGCCCTTACGTATTTAGCCCTTTCCTGTGAACATAATGTTAGCTCAACGCCAAAGTGGAATAATTCCATGTTGTGTATCTATATATTTAAAAATATTTATGTATACAACCAGAGATATATAATAAACGCTGGTTAACGTCACATGAATCGCAATGAGAAAGTGAAACAAAATGTAAGAACAATATTGAATATTTCAAGCTACAACTGAGACCACCTTCACTTAAGAAGTTTTTAAGCCCTATAATTGTGATTAAACTATCAGTGTATACAGTATATACTGAGAGATATATGCCTTTGTGTTGATTCTGACCCTCGTGGGTTGTAATGTGCTAGAAATTATCTTGTTAAATTTCATTTTCTCTTTATTACATCAAGGATACCTTAGACAGTTTACATATAATTGTGCTGAAACCAGCTACTTCAGAGATCTTATGTTAATTGGGGATTGTTAAGCAGTTTCAAACCTAACCTAACCTAAGTTTCAAACTGGCTCTATGCCATCAGACTATGGGACGATTGTAAGGTGAAGAAACGGACTTAACCTTGTGTCCAGGTATAGGGTTACCTGGGATCCTGGTATCTTGGGCTAGTAGGTAATGTCAGAATAAGACCTCAGTTAACTTATGTCCTGCTTAATAATAAAAGCTGTCGCCATATTCGAATGCTGTCAAAACCATTATAGTCAACATTTACATGCGCTGGTAATGTTCTTGACATCAGCAACACGTTCTTAAGAGTGTGGATTCTAGCTTAGGTTCAGAGAATCAACTGATAACAAGTAAGTCTCGGTACTTAATTCAGTGACCCAGAGACGCTTGAATACATGTTAAATAGCTGTAGCCTGGTGGCTAAAGCTCTCGCTTCACACGGCGAGCGTCTGGGTTCGATTCCCAGCTAGGGTAGAAACACTGGGGGGTGTTTCTTTACACCAGTTGTCTGTGTTCCCCATCAGTAAAATGGGAACCTGGGAGTTAGTGGACTGGTGTGGGTCGCATCCCGGTACAAAACTGACTTAATTTGCCCGTATTGCTCTGCATAACAAGCAGCTTTATAGTAGTGTAACTGATGTCAGTTAGGTCTGTATACCTTGTGCATGTACTTGTAGAAATAAAGATATTATAATACACTCAGGGATATCTACTAAATTAATTGGGCTCCCTGAGAAACAAAAAGTGGCCATGGTCTGTCTTCCCTGGTTCCTAATGCCAGACTCCCCTGAGGATATTCAAAGAGACTGCCAGCCTACATTGGGGGGCTGATCTGGAGCACTGTTGCCAAATGGCTGGGAAAGGTAATAATATAATATTATGTAATAAAATATTCCTATTGGTAAAAAAAGAATGAAAAGATGGGGTGGTAGGGGAAGTGGAATATTCAAACAGCTTGAAGAAATCCAAATATTCTTCCCTGAAGCCTTTTTATCCACTTCTCCGAGGCTATGGGTCCCACAATTTACACCAGAAGTGGACCCCAAAATTATATATATATATATATATATATTATATATATATATATATATATATATATATATATATATATATATATATATATTATATATATATATATATATATATAATATCTTTAATTCTACAAGTACATGTACAAGGTATATAGTCCTGGCTGACATCAATGACATACTACTATATAGAAAGCCACTTGTTATGTAGAGCATTTCGGGCAAATTAGGCCAATTTTGTCCCAGGATGCGACCCCACACCAGTCGACTAACACCCAGGTACCCATTTTATACTGATGAGTGAACATGGACAGCAGATGTCTAATTGAAACACTTCCTAATGTTATCCAGCCGTACCGGAGATTCGAACTCTGGGCCTCAGTGTGTGAGCTGAGAGCGCTAGCGATCTATCTAAGTGTAAATTATCCACTCTCAATATGTCAAAAAGTTTGTCACAAAACTCAACAATGCTCTGAGACCCTAGTAAACAAACTGGGTCTCAGGCTGTTATACTGCAAGTGCTACTTGCCAGGCAGGTGTGACTTGGCACATGGGCTCTCACATAATGGGAAAAAGGGCCGTTAAATCCTCCTCTACCCCCCCCCCCGTTGGCAGAGAGAAGGTTAACGGTCACATAAATCATTCAGTCACGTAGGCATTTTGAGACAGACGGGAGAGAGATATTGCACTCTCTAGAATATTCTAACAAATGGAGATTCAAAATCTTCACACAGTATACTGGGAGGACAGTGTTATAATTCATCGGTACGAGTATCACTTATAATATCACTTATAATGCAGTGATATCACCCGTCAGGTGGAAGTACCACTGGTCAGGTGAAAGTACCCCTAGTTAGGTAGATGTGGTATCTCCACTAGTCAGGTGGAAATACCACAGATCAGGTTGTGCCAAGAGTTACGAGAAGGTACCACAAGTGCGAGGCGAGCACCGCATCACAAGACAGTTTTCCTTAATATTAACTCATAACGTGAAGATTGCTGGAGACATATTTCATAATGAATTATTACGAATTAGTAAGAGAACTTACAGGTACTGACAGTCTCAGTATATGGGAATGTTTTACAGCAACACACAGTAAAAAGCTCAATAATTTTCACTGGTAATAACTAAGTCAATAAACTTTTGTGACGCTTCACTGACGAGGAAGAGAAGACCCTGGCAGTAAGTGGTGTGTAGGATGCCTACTGTCAGCAGGGCTTAATGGCACTGTGGGAGGTGTCTGAGCCGTGTGTGGTACTCAGTGTGTCATCTCTCACTGGGTATTTTCAAGGATGTGTAGCACTACGGGTGAAGTGGTAAGCATCAGGTAGAATGAGGCACAGGTCGCTGCTTACTACTGCTGACGCTTCAACCAGTACTTAGATAAAGATACACAACAGGATGCATGTACAATTGCCATCTCCTGAATGGTAATAGTATTTAATAACGCTTATATCCAAACCACGTATTTGTTTTAGTTTATAATAATTATATATTCATGAGTATTTTCGTGTTTTGAATCATATATAAAAGCTTCGAATCTCCAGTGTTGCTGGAGTGCAGTTGATCAAGGTGAGATAAGATGTAGAGAGGGAGACAGGATGTCTGTGGTAATGTGCTGCCATTAAGACTATTTTATATAATGTTATTTAAAGTTTACAGGCTGGGATATCAGAGCCATGAACCTCCATTATACTTTTTCCAATATTATGTCAAAATGTGTTTTTAAATTTGATGTTCAACATTGCCACAGTTAGTCAATATTCAGATCGAGAGAATTTAGTCGTGATAGATTATAGCAATCGGTTTTGTTAGTTTCCAGTTAACACTGCATTATATAAATTAACTATATGGCTCACAGTTATCTTCAGGTTGCAGTATTTAGACAGGTTAACATGGCTCACTCTGTCTACAGACCACTATAGTTAAGATAAGATAAGATTTCGTTCCAGAATCACCCAAGAAAGTCAGTGCGTCATCGAGGACTAACTTATTTCCATTGTGGTCCTCAATCTTGTCCCTCAGGATGCGACCCACACTAGTCAGTAACACCCAGGTACCTATTTGCTGCTAGGTGAAAGGAAACGTGTCGGAATGTTTCCACCCGCCGGGAATCGAACCCGGGCTCTCCGTGTGTGAAGCGGGAGCTTTAGCCACCGGGTCACCAGTGATACCGTTATAGTGTATATACTCTGGGGCCCAGTCTTAGTTTAATATCTTTATTATGCACCCTATGCCCATCTTGTGGGCGGTAGTCACCCTATACCCATCCTGTGGGCGGTAGTCATCCTATACCCATCCTGTGGGTGGTAGTCAAAAGATTACAAAGGTACATAATGGGTCCAGGAACTGGACTCCAAAGTTATGATAGCTGAACTAGTTACAAAGGTAATGAACTCCAGGTAGATCTGGTCACAATCATGGCAAGTTACAGAGGTAATGAATCAGCTTCACTCCTATACATGGTTATAGTCATGAACAAATTACAAAGTAATGAACCACTGATACGTCCACACCTGGTCACAATTGTAATGAGTTATAAATACAAATATTAAGTGGGTCATACACCCACACGAGAGCGCGCGCACACACATGCACACGAGCGTGCAAATATATGCATACACACAAGCACGCACACCCCATTATGCACAGGATGGGCGGTAGTCAAAACATTATGGGGTACATAATAAAGATATTAACCTAACTTGTCTACATGCAGGCCATCTACGTTCTAAAGCTACCATGTTTTACATGCCACCTGTTTCTAAATTACCATGGTTTATTGGCCACCTGTGATAAGCTGCCATGGTCTACACTACACACTTATCTTCCTATGCTGTCATACCCTGTGAGTAGAGGTCACAATATGACAGGGACGGTATTATGGGATATTCAGTGAGTACATAATAATCACTTATGGTGGTCTGAGAGGCAGGGTTGCAGGTGTCTCGTAGCTCGATCACTAGCGCACTCAGCTCACACACTGAGGTCCGGGGTTCAAATCTCCTCCGGTACGGCTGAAAAACATTATGGACGTGTTTCCATAAGATACCTGCTGTCCTTGTTCATCCATCAATTTAAAATGGGTACCTAGGTGTTAGTCGATTGGTGTGGGTCGCATCCTGGGGGAAAAATGACCTAATTTGCTCGAAATGCTCAGCATAACAAGCGGCTTGCTATGTACTAGTATGTAACTGATGTCAGCTAGGACTATAAACCTTGTACATGTACTTGTAGTAAATAAAGTTATTATTATTATTAGCACTGGTCACTGAATGCAGATGTTATGAGTGAATTTAGTCAGCATTATTCGTGATAAATACAGGGTGTGACACCCATCACAGGTCATCACCTGCCATCATAACACTACTGGTGATGAGTTTGTGATGAAAGGTTCACTAATTTATAAATATTTTGTACGAATGAGTGAATAACTAGTGTAGGTTAGTTTGTATTTGAAAATTTTACTTTCAGAGGTATGTTGACTTAAACACCACCTGCCATCCTTTATTTACACTACTCTCCTGGTTGGTAGGTATTACAAACACTGGTAACAATGGCCTGTTGACTTGGCCGTAATGGGTTGGAGCGAAATAAATGCAGTAGTAGTATTTAACTTATATTTTCCTTTACCAAAGGTTTATATACAGATATGTACACCATGTATAGGAGTTGAATACAAGTGTATCACACGGTGATAAGGCAAAGACAGAAGCCAGAGAGAGAGAACCGTGTTTCAACCAGCTAGAGGCGAGTCTGGCAAATGTTGACCACGAGTGACACCATATCGTCTCAGCACTTGGCAGGCTCGTCTGTGATTGGTCAATGAACCAAGGTACTGATTTAACGAAAGGGCCCCAAAAGATCGTTAAACCCTTAGCACCTGGTTCGCTGGTTGGGAGGCAGCCTATATGGGAGTGTGTATATACGCTGAATAAAGTGTAACATACTCTTTGCATGCCACATTAGGTGATGGGTGGAGCAATGGGTCAAGTTGGGTCACTTTACTAGGTTCCTTTACAGTCGTAACATCCTCTACTGGTTTTTGTCATTCACATACTTTATCTCTTTTTTATTAGGTGTTACCTGTCTTGGTAACACCTTTACCATATTTTCACCCGTTTCTATAAAGATCTTTTGCCTATCAAGTGAGTAACCCGCTTGTGATGGTAAATGCTGCCTGTTTCTCCCCTCATCCTGAGTATTTCAGTTTAGCTCAGCTGAACACTGAGGGACTAGATAGGCATTGGCAAAAGGCTTAAAGAACATAAGAAAGAAGGAACATTGTAACAGGCCTACTGGCCTATGCGAGGCAGCTCCATTTCTCCCACCAGCTTAAGCCAATGCCTTGACCTAGTGAGGTCAGACACGTCATTTAAGGGAGGAGCAGTGCATCCGACCTAATAGCACAAACTAGTCAGGTCCAACTCACACCCACCCACACCCACTTATGTATTTATCTAACCTATTTTTAAAACTACACGAAGTCTTAGCGTCTATGACGGTACTCGGGAGTTTGTTCCACTCATCCACAACTCTATTACCAAACTAGTGCTTTCCTATATCCTTCCTGAATCTGAATTTTTCCAATTTAAAGCCATTGCTGCGAGTCCTGTGTATGTTAGATATTTTTAGCACGCTATTTACATCCCCTTTATTAATTCCTGTTTTCCATTTATACACCTCAATCATATCCCCCCTAATTCTACGCCTTTCTAGAGAGTGCAGGTTCAGGGCCCTCAGTCTATCCTCATAGGGAAGATTTCTGATACATGGGATCAACTTCGTCATCCTCCTTTGTACGTTTTCCAGTGCATTTATATCAATTCTGTAATACGGTGACCAAAACTGTGCAGCATAATCTAAATGAGGCCTAACCAAAGATATATAGAGTTTGAAGAACAACCTGAGGACTTCTATTATTTATACTTCTTGCTATGAAGCCAAGGATTCTGTTAGCTTTATAGCGAACACTTATGCACTGTTGTCTTGGTTTTAGATTACTACTAACCAGAACTCCTAAATCTTTTTTGCAATCCGTAATATTAAGATCTACATTATTTAGTTTATATGTGGCATGGTTATCTTCCTGTCCAACATTTAGAACTTTGCATTTGTCTATATTAAACTGCGTCTGCCACTTCTCCGACTACTGCATCAGTCTATTCAAATCATCCTGGAGTGCTCTAATGTCCTCAGTAGAATGAATTGGACGGCCTATTTTGGTGTCATCAGCAAATTTACTTATGTTGCTATTTATTCCCTCATCTATGTCGTTTATGTAGATTGTGAACAACAACGGGCCCAACACTTACCCCTGTGGAACACCGCTTGTGACGTGCCCCCATTCTGATTTCTCCCCATTTATGCAAACTCTCTGCTGCCTATTCGTCAACCATGCCTCAACCCAGGAAAAAATTTCTCCTCCTATTCCGTGTGCCTCTGATGTGGAACTCTATCGAAAGCCTTACTGAAGTCCATATACACAATATCATATTCAATACCATGATCTACCTCCTCAAATACCTTGGTGAAAAAAGTTAGTAAATTCGTAAGACAGGAACGCCCCTTTGTAAAAACGTGCTGAGATTCATTAATCAGTTTATGCCTTTCGAGATGGCTACGAATTGCTTCGGCAATTATTGATTCCATAAATTTTTCCACTCTGGAGATAAGGCTTATTGGTCTATAGTTCGAAGCTAAGGACCTGTCATCTGCCTTGTAAATAGGTATTACATTTACCATTTTCCACTTGTCTGGCACTATGCCAGTTTGTAGTGATATGTTGAAAAGATTAGCCAAAGGTATGCTAAGTTCCTCTTTACATTCCTTTAACACCCTTGCAAACAGTTCATCAGGGCCTGGGGATTTGTTAGCTTTTAATTTCTCTATTTGTCTGGGGACATGTCACTAGTTACCGCAATCGTGTATAGTTTATTATCGTCCTGTTCTACATAATTTATTATTTCAGGAATTTCGCTAGTATCTTCCTGAGTAAAAACTGAGAGGCTTATGTGAATATTTGCTGCTTCTTTGTATATGACTGTAGAAATCACATCTGTATCTACTAGTGACTCTACCACTCCGACTACATTGTTGAATCTCTGCCATTAACTTCTTACTCCATATGTCTTCGAAGCCTCAGTGTGCTGTTTCACCATCTTATGAACAGTTCACTGAAGTCTGAGCTAGCACGCTGCCGCACTACACCTCGTGTTGACACATGGTCTCTTTACTAAGGTTCATACTTATTCTTCCACAGATGTAGCTATTTAAACCATACCACGGACGGGGATAGAACCCGCAGGTTCTATCCCCGTCCGTGGTATGGTTTGTTTGCAATCGTGTCATTACGATTTCGTGAGTCATGTAGCTATTTGTTTGTAACTCAAAGTAATCGACTCTTCTGCTTCTATTCTCTCATCTCCACAAAAGTGGCTGTCATCTAAGCTGCTCTAAGATCATGCTGGCTCACAGTCGTACTTCAGTGCTGCTGTTCGCACTGATTCACTTCGTTCGTTTAATTTTTTACATTTTTTTTTTGCTTCAGGCTATATCTAAGTATAATGCAAGTTATAGAATTTTTTTTTTTCCAACATTTGATTTTTTCTGTTATTTTTTCCATCTTTAAGTTGTATGAATTTTGAATCGTCTCTGAAGGTTCACTACATTGTTTGACTGTACTGGGTTATTCTAGATTAAATCTATGTAATGTACTATATATGTATGGTTAAAAGTCTGTGCCCTATAATACATTTAAAAATATATATGTATACGTATATTTCTGCTTGTAAAATAATTTGTGGCTTGCCCTAAATATACTTCTTAACAAGTTAATTCACTACATAATTTCCTGACCATGGTGCAGGTGGGTTGCTGGTGGCTGGTCTATATACCACAACACTGTCTTCAACACTTGCCTCCCTCTATGGATCTCCTCGAGTACTTCAGTCTATTGCTGCAGAAAATGTCGTACCGATTCTTTCTCCATTAGCAAAAGGGGTATGTTTGTTTCTTGCATCTGTAGTTTTATGTAGGAATCCAACACTGTATTCATCTGACTGTTGATCACGTAAATTGATGTTACTGTTATGTCTTCTAATGTTCATAAATCAATTACAGAAAATAATAAATATTGCAAGTTCACCCAATTTTAAATGTTCATTTACCAAGCATCATAAACTTCAAAATTGTTAATTTTATTGTGCAATCAAGTAAGAGTTATTCTTAAGCGAAATTATATTAATTTTGTCAGCACTAAGAGTAATGTAAAAATCTCAGCATTGAAGGTCCGAGTGAAACGGTATATTACAAGACAATTTATTTAATTATATAGCATTTTTTCATTTTACAGAAAGGTCCCAACAAAGTTCCTGTACTGTCACTCGTGGTGACGGTAATAGTGACATTAATCTTCCTGCTGGTGGGCAGAATCAACACCCTGGCACCCATCGTTACTATGCCCTTCCTTGCTACTTATGCAACAATTGACTATGCCTACTTCGCCCTTGCTATGACAGCTGACATGCAGAGAGCCCGTGAAGCAAGGTTCAGGTGGGTCCAACTCCTGAGTTATGCTAAATGTCTTAGTTAAAAAAATGGTATTTAGCATAATTTTCATTTATAGCACAAGTGCATGAGATAAATTTTAGACATTAAAATATATATCACAATGCATTAATTCTTGGCACTTGAGTGATGTCTTTCAAGCTATTAACATTCTGGTTTACATGGGCATCAGTCATGCATTTCCTGCCATCATACTTCCTCCTCACCGACAGTAAGAACGGGGATCGACACCATGCCTAACTGTTCTAGGGCAGGGTAGGTGCCTGAGCCCGAGCTTGCAGCTCACAAGACTCATTCATTCCCATTAGCCCCCTTGAGGCGGGGATGGCAGACCAGAAATAACAAAAGGCACAATACCGTGACTGGAACAATACACAAATAACCCGCACATAAAAGAGAGAAGCTTACGACGACGTTTCGGTCCGACTTGGACCATTGACAAAGTCACACTGGGTGTGACTTTGTCAATGGTCCAAGTCGGACCGAAACGTCGTCGTAAGCTTCTCTCTTTTATGTGCGGGTTATTTGTGTATGGCAGACCAGAGAGGCCTAGCTTCTCCCTACGAGCCCCGTGAGGGCGGGGAATGTGGCTAGGCCTGGGGACAGTTGGTCCCAAAGTACTTGTGCCTCCTCCCATGGGAGACACTCCCTAGACAGGGAGCCAAGGCCGGGCCACCACTTGGAAAAGGCCCGGGCCGGGAAAATACCGGCGAATCAAGAAGAAGTAAAAAACGGGTGTTCCTCAAGGCAACATTCTCATAATAATAATACATTTCTACATGTACAAAATATACAGTCCTAGCTGACATCAATGACATATTACTATATAGACAGCCCCTTGTTATGCAGAGCATTTCGGGCAAATTAGGTCAGTTTTGTCCCAGGACAATGTGACCACACCAGTCGACTAACACCCAGGTACACATTTTATATTGATGGGTGGACATGGACAGCACGTGTCTTATGGAAACACGTCCTAATGTTTTACAGGTGTATCGGAGATTCGAACTCCGGACCCCATCGTGTGAGCCGAGTGCACTAGCGATGGAGCTACGGGGGAACACGTGAGTATGTTGCTGTGTCAAGCATCATCTCATTGCAGTTTTTTCTGAACACGACGCTGCATATATCTTCCCTCTATATGGCTTTTCATTGGTTTCCAATTACGTACATGCAGATTTAGCTTGTACCACTTTTCCATGTAAGATACTTACCAAGGGGTATTAGTTCTCCCTCTAATAGTTCTTATCATTTTCTGTAGGCCTACCTACACGTTTTCTGTACTTGTTCATTGCCGTTTCTCATTTTTATTCAATTACGTTGACCTCTTAGTTTGTTCTTTTCAGGTTGGTCATTCTGTACACATGCTGAAGCAGTACTCATTCTTCCACATTTTGTTTCTCATAAAGAGTACAGTATATTCCCTGAGAGGTGTATATCTGTGTATATTTTGAAAGTTTACTTTAATCCTTATCTTATGGATTAAAACATAATAATGCAACTAACCAACCACATTTCCAAATTCAGCCAAGTAATTGCTGCAGCCTTAGGAGAAAAACATTCATATTACGAAAATTAAATAATGACTTTTTGCAGAGGTCAAACATTTGGAACTCCAACCTTTGACTCCAGAGGTGCAGCTGGAACCACTGACCTCGACCATCTCTTTCCTGAGAGAATAACACACAAGAAAGTTATTACGGTAAGACTCGCATAGTCTCATAAATTACAAGATCATATTCTGTCATACAGACGGGCCCCGTTTATACAGCAAGTTAGAGTTCAGGTTACTGCTGTAAAGTGAAAATCACTAAAGTGTAAAGTGAAACAATCTTTTTGTCACTTTCAAATGCATATAAAAGCCTGTAACATGTTTACACTCTCGTACATTGAGCGAGCAATACAGCTAGACCTACAAAAATGCATACACAGTATACTCATTACTTACCTTAAAATATTTTAATCCTTAGCTTATAGTGAGTGGTGAATATATTTACTGTAGGAAGTATGAATACATGAAGAATGGGCATAATTGAAAACTACTGCATTAGCTAAACGCTGTAAAACGAAGCGCTGTGAAGCAGGGCCTGCCTGTATTACTGTAACTAACACCTAAGTAAGGTATGTTAACGATCTTTTATTAAGCCTTGTATGGAAGAAGACTTGTATAATTCAGGACATTTATTTCAGGAAACATTTCCTGAAATAAATGTCCAGAACGGAACATAAGTGTGTTTCCACATCTTGTCGATATCACCATACTTACTTTCTTAAGTCTTGTCCCACACTGCTATATTTCACATTCTTCAACGAAGGATTGGGGGGGGAGGGGGAGAAGGGTTGAAGCTGGTGAAGGGCTCTTGATCCAGGAAATCAGAGCTTTTCTCAGATGCAACTTGATTACATCATCCCTTTCATTCCCAAAATGCTGTATGGCCCTTATGGGTTTGGTGTTTCCCCATGAATATAATAATTAAAAATATATATTTCAAAGATGAGTATACTGTGTGTAATATCCTAAAAGTTGTGTTTTATGTGTGGTACAGAAGACAGCAGCCAGCTCAGGATCATCAAGTCTGGTCTCATCTCCAGATGATCACTCCAGCATCAAGTCAGACACAGATCACTCCACAAAAGGTGAGAACTTGAGATGGCTGGAGTTTCAAGGGCGGCAAATAATAAATAAGGCTTGAAAAAAATGAAATTTTATGAAGGTTACAAAACTGAATTGGGACAATTATCAATTAACCTACACACTGGAAATTATTACTATTTTCTTTAACACACCATCCATCTGCCACAGAAGCAAGGTGACCCGAAAAAAGAAGAAATGCTCTCATAAAGTTTTTTCTTTTTTTTTTTTTTTACATTTGGTAATTATACAGGAGAAGGGGTTACTGGCCCCTTCCAGCCTTTGAGTCGCCTCTCACGACAAGCATAGCTTATGGAGGAGGGATTCTTTTCCACTTCCCCAAAACCTGTAAGATCTGGCTCATTATCAGTGACGACTTGATAATGGTCCAATATTGGTATCATGAGATCAGACTACAACACCAGAACAAATAAGTCTAACTGCATAAAGTAATGATAGGAGTGCCAGGTAGGATATTTTTTGATATGTACTGCATAATGCTGCAATAAAATCACAGTAAACAGGTGATATCACAATATCCAGAACAACCACAGTGAAAAAATAGTGAAATTCCAAGCGCTTTCGTGATTTCTCACATTACCAAGGAACTATAAGAAAAACATCAATAGGAATGCATATAAGGGTAAGACTACACCTCACAGTCACGTCACAACACCCGACTCTGTGAAACACAACTGATATTCTACCCAACATTAAGATTTTTTACTTGTCTAATTAATAAAATTTGGGAAGAATTTAATGATACATTAGACAAGTAATGTATCATTATCAAGGAACTTTTACATATAGTTCCTTGATAATGTGAGAAGTCACGAAATCGCTTGGAATTTCACTATTTTTTTCACAGTGGTTGTTCTGCATATGGCATAATAAAAAAGATTTAGCATTACTTTGTTTACTAGCATGTCTTTTCTTTTGGCAGAAGAAGAGAGCATTGGTAGCAGCATTATTACAGGTGAAGGGGTTGTACAACCTACAGGGAGTATTGGAGGTATGATGGGGATCTCAAATAAACCATCACACTGGTACTCTTACCTTTGTAACCGATGGATCTCACTCGCGGGGGTAAGCACTGCATTTCTCCATATTTTGTTTTGTACTACATGTACATACACATTAGATGAGTAGTTTGCTATTTATTCCTTGTACATCTTATAGGCTTTGTTAGATCTTTTGTTATTATTACATTATATTTGATCACGAGTTTGTGACTTGCTTGGTAATGTCCTGAGCTCTCGCATCTCTAATCTTACGACTACCGCCCAGAGGATGGATGTGGGGTGCAGAATAAACATTAAACTAAGCTCACGCATTGAGGGACTGGGGTTCTAACCCCGACCCGAGTGGAAATGCTGGGCATGGTTCCTTTTGCCTGCTCTCTCTGCTCTCCTAGCAGCAAGTTAGTACAAGGTATTAGCCGACTGGTGTGGGTAGCACCCAGGGGAGAGGAGTAAGGACCTCCAGTGGAAATAAGCCAGTCCGATGACAGGGGTTTAAATTATCCTGGGTTACTAACCCTCCTGATTAATAATCCACACAAAATCTTGGAATGAGAGAATATTAAGTTGTAATAAAAGAATTACAAACAAATGTTTACCTACTTTAAAATCTTAAAATGCATATACAGTACGTGCAGCGTAACATTTTGATGATAAAATAATTGAATTATGCAAGATCCCTATTTATTTACAATGAATTCATGGCTATAAGGAGCGTGGATATATAAATGGAATTCTATTCAGTGCATTTCACTATGCATATATGGGTATACAACAAATTCTAACTATATAATAGAGCGAAAAAATTAATGTGAAGGACCTGGGAGTGATAATGTCAGAGGATCTCACCTTCAAAGACACAACAATGTATCTACGGCATCTGCTAGAAAAATGATAGGATGGATAATGAGAACCTTCAAAACTAGGGATGTCAAGCCCATGATAATAATAATATAATATAGTGATAATATCTTTATTTACTCCACGTACATGTACAGGGTATACAGTCCTAGCTGACATCAATGACATATTACTATATGGAAAGCCGCTTGTTATTTACCTGGAGTTTACCTGGAGAGAGTTCGGGGGTCAACGCCCCCGCCGCCCGGTCTGTGACCAGGCCTCCTGGTGGATCAGAGCCTGATCAGCCAGGCTGTTGCTGCTGGCTGCACGCAAACCAACTTACGAGCCACAGCCCGGCTGGTCAGGAACCGACTTTAGGTGCTTGTCCAGTGCCAGCTTGAAGAGTGCCAGGGGTCTGTTGGTAATCCCCCTTATGTATGCTGGGAGGCAGTTGAACAGTCTCGGGCCCCTGACACTTATTGTATAACGTGCAAGTGACACCCCTGCTTTTCATTGGGGGGATGGTGCATCGTCTGCCAAGTCTTTTGCTTTCGTAGTGAGTGATTTTCGTGTGCAAGTTCGGTACTAGTCCCTCTAGGATTTTCCAGGTGTATATAATCATGTATCTCTCCCGCCTGCATTCCAGGGAATACAGGTTTAGGAACCTCAAGCGCTCCCAGTAATTGAGGTGTTTTATCTCCGTTATGCGCGCCGTGAAGGTTCTCTGTACATTTTCTAGGTCAGCAATTTCACCTGCCTTGAAAGGTGCTGTTAGTGTGCAGCAATATTCCAGCCTAGATAGAACAAGTGACCTGAAGAGTGTCATCATGGGCTTGGCCTCCCTAGTTTTGAAGGTTCTCATTATCCATCCTGTCATTTTTCTAGCAGATGCGATTGATACAATGTTATGGTCCTTGAAGGTGAGATCCTCCGACATGATCACTCCCAGGTCTTTGACGTTGGTGTTTCGCTCTATTTTGTGGCCAGAATTTGTTTTGTACTCTGATGAAGATTTGATTTCCTCGTGTTTACCATATCTGAGTAATTGAAATTTCTCATCGTTGAACTTCATATTGTTTTCTGCAGCCCACTGAAAGATTTGGTTGATGTCCGCCTGGAGCCTTGCAGTGTCTGCAATGGAAGACACTGTCATGCAGATTCGGGTGTCATCTGCAAAGGAAGACACGGTGCTGTGGCTGACATCCTTGTCTATGTCGGATATGAGGATGAGGAATAAGATGGGAGCGAGTACTGTGCCTTGTGGAACAGAGCTTTTCACCGTAGCTGCCTCGGACTTTACTCTGTTGACGACTACTCTCTGTGTTCTGTTAGTGAGGAAATTATAGATCCATCGACCGACTTTTCCTGTTATTCCTTTAGCACGCATTTTGTGCGCTATTACGCCATGGTCACACTTGTCGAAGGCTTTTGCAAAGTCTGTATATATTACATCTGCATTCTTTTTGTCTTCTGGTGCATTTAGGACCTTGTCGTAGTGATCCAATAGTTGAGACAGACAGGAGCGACCTGTTCTAAACCCATGTTGCCCTGGGTTGTGTAACTGATGGGTTTCTAGATGGGTGGTGATCTTGCTTCTTAGGACCCTTTCAAAGATTTTTATGATATGGTATGTTAGTGCTATTGGTCTGTAGTTATTTGCTGTTGCTTTACTGCCCCCTTTGTGGAGTGGGGCTATGTCTGTTGTTTTTAGTAACTGTGGGACGACCCCCGTGTCCATGCTCTCTCTCCATAGGATGGAAAAGGCTCGTGATAGGGGCTTCTTGCAGTTCTTGATGAACACGGAGTTCCATGAGTCTGGCCCTGGGGCAGAGTGCATGGGCATGTCATTTATCGCCTGTTCGAAGTCATTTGGCGTCAGGATAACATCGGATAGGCTTGTGTTAATCAAATTTTGTGGCTCTCTCATAAAAAATTCATTTTGATCTTCGACTCTCAGTCTGGTTAGCGGCTTGCTAAAATCTGAGTCATATTGGGACTTGAGTAGCTCACTCATTTCCTTGCTGTCATCTGTGTAGGACCCATCTTGTTTAAGTAGGGGCCCAATACTGGACGTTGTTCTCGACTTTGATTTGGCATAGGAGAAGAAATACTTTGGGTTTCTTTCGATTTCATTTATGGCTTTTAGTTCTTCCCGCGATTCCTGACTCCTATAAGATTCCTTTAGCTTGAGTTCGATGCTTGCTATTTCTCTGACCAGTGTCTCCCTACACATTTCAGATATATTGACCTCTTTTAGCCGCTCTGTTATTCTTTTCCGTCGCCTGTAAAGGGAGCGCCTGTCTCTTTCTATTTTACATCTACTCCTTCTTTTTCTTAGAGGAATAAGCCTTGTGCATACATCGAGTGCCACCAAGTTAATCTGTTCTAGGCATAAGTTGGGGTCTGTGTTGCTTAGTATATCTTCCCAGCTTATATCGGTTAGGACTTGGTTTACTTGGTCCCACTTTATGTTTTTGTTATTGAAGTTGAATTTGGTGAATGCTCCCTCGTAACTAGTCTCATTATGTCGGTCTGGGGCTCCACGCATACATGTCTGAACCTCAGTTATGTTGTGATCTGAGTATATTGTTTTTGATATGGTGACATTTCTTATCAGATCATCATTGTTAGTGAAGATGAGGTCTAGTGTATTCTCCAGTCTAGTTGGCTCTATTATTTGCTGGTTTAAATTGAATTTTGTGCAGAGATTTAAAAACTCGTGTGAGTGTGAGTTTTCATCAGAGCTGCCTCCTGGTGTTATTACTGCAACAATATTATTTGCTATATCCTCCATTTTAGGTGCCTTAAGTTGAAATCCCCCAGGAGCAAGATGTTGGGTGCAGTAGTTGGAAGATTTTCCAGACAGTGGTCAATTTTTAACAGCTGTTCCTGGAATTGCTGTGATGTTGCATCCAGAGGCTTGTAGACTACCGCAATGACTAGGTTTTGGTTCTCGACCATTACTGCTAAAACTTCCACTACATCATTTGAGGCATTAAGCAGTTCTGTGCAAACAAGTGACTGCAATGTACAGGCCAACCCCCCCCCTTTTGCCTGTTCACTCTGTCACATCTGTATAGGTTGTAACCTGGAATCCATATTTCGTTGTCCAAGTGATCCTTTATGTGGGTCTCAGTGAAAGCCGCGAACATTGCCTTTGCCTCTGCAAGCAGTCCACGGATGAAAGGTATTTTGTTGTTTGTTGCTGGCTTTAGACCCTGTATATTTGCAAAGAAGAATGTCATTGGACTGGTGGACTGGTTCGGGCAAATTAGGTAAGTTTTGTCCCAGGATGCGACCCACACCAGTCGGCTAACACCCAGGTACCTATTTTACTGATAGGTGAACATAGACAACCACTGTAAAGAAACACGTCCAATGTTTCCACCCCTTCGCCGGTAATCGAACTCGGACCCTCACCATGTGAAGCGAGAGCTTTTGCCACCAAATCGCTTGTTCTCTCTAGGCTGGAATATTGCTGTACACTAACTGCCCCCTCTAAGGCAGGTGAAACTGCTGACCTGGAGAGTGTACAAAGAACTTTCATGGCACACATAAGTACGTTAAAGCACCTAAATTACTGGGAACGGTTGAAGGTCCTTGATCTGTATTTCCTCGAATGCAGGCGAGAGAGATACATGATAATATACACTTGGAAGGTCCTGGAGGGATTGGTGCCAAACCTACACACGAAAATCATTCTATATGAAAGCAAAATACTCGGCAGGAGATGCAACATTTCCCCGATGAAAAGCAGGGGCGCCACGAGTACACTGAGAGACAACTCAGTAAGTGTCCGGGGCCCAAGACTGTTCAGTTGCCTCCCAGCATACATAAGGGAGATTACCAATAGACCCCTGGCTGTCTTCAAGAAGGCACTGGACAGGTACCTAAAGGCAGTACCTGACCAGCTGGGCTGTGGTTCATACGTCAGTTTGCATGCGGCCAGCAGTAGCAGCCTGGTTGATCAGACCCTGATGCACCACGAGGCCTGGTCTCAGACCGGGCCTTGGGGGTGTTGACCACGAAACCCCCTCCAGGTATACTCCAGGTATAACGGTGTTAACATGAAAGATGTCAGGGAGGACTCGAGCATTCAGAGAGTAATACCTGCTGGCAGGAACTTTAGCCAGAGGCTATGACTAACTACCGAGATTTCAATAGTGTTGTCCCTCTTGGAATCATGGATCAAACTTGATTGCTTTCCATTCCCCAGATGGTGCTATATGACCAGTACATGTATAAAGCTTTCCAATTATGATAATTTCCCATGGTTGGCGAAGAAGTCTCGTAAACAGTATAGTTGGTCCAGGAAGTTGAGGGAAGGTGAAAAATTTTGAGGATCTCCAGCAAAAAATACACAACTGGTGGAGTCCCAGTGGCAGAAACTGTCAGAAAAGAGCTGAGAAAGTTGTCCAGAGAGAGTGGAGGAAGAGGGAAGCATAGCCTCAAGTATCTAATGTGACTGACATTTATAGCATAGATTATTTCATTATCAGAGAAATATATGAATAAACACACCGTATGATGTGCTATTCGATTTTCATTGCTTGAAACTACAGATTTTGAAGAGTTCTCTTACTGCCCCAAAACCTCTATCATAATAATAATAATAATAATAATAATAATAATAATAATAATAATAATAATAATAATAATAATAATATATTTACTACAAGTACATGTACATGGTATACAGTCCTAACTGACATCAATGACATACTACTATATAGAAAACCGCTTTTTATGCTGAGCATTTCGGGCAAATTAGGTCCTTGTCCCAGGATGCGACCCACACCAGTCGACTGACACCCAGGTAACCATTTTACTGATGGGTGAACATAGACAACAGGTGCAAAGAAACACGCCCAATGTTTCCACCCTGGCTGGGAATCGAACCCAGGCCCTCGCTGTGTGGCCACCAGAGCCCCTTATCATTGTTTATCAGTATAATCATTATCATTATTCATTGTAAATACAGTACTGCACGTCAGCTCACGTGAAGTGTATATGAGAATAAACTATTTGAAACACACTATTTTCCATGAGTCTTAATATTATTACTTACATCAGAAAAATAATAGGTTTATAAATTGCAGGTTGGTGTGAAGGTGGCCATGATGGTGTGTGTACACTGGGCTTACGGTCTCATCACATTACTCACTACGTTACTCATATATATCTACATAGGGCAAGCCGCACCAGGCGGCCATCCTGGTATAGCCAACGAGTTTGTCTTCCTCAGGTGGCTCAAGAACAGCTTCCTTACATGCATTGGGTATGATTAACAGTGTACTATTGTATAATTATTTATAACTTGAAACTTCTTTCTTTTTGGTAAACAAGATTGTTATTGGAACAATAGTGACGTTATGTTCAAGTTATGTTTGGTAGTGTCCATTTTATTGTGTAATTAGTATAAATTCCCAGTTTAAAGTTATTCTGACTGCTTGACAGACTTCATTAGATTTTCAAAGATCAGCAGTTTCAGTTTCAGAATCTATATTTTAAATGGGTAACAGCAAGATTCATCATACCATATTGTACTAAAAACCTTAATAGTCAGGAAATACTGATTTATAAACCATTCCACGGGCGGGGATAGAACCCGCGATCATTACTATTTCAAGCCATACCACGGCCGGGATTGAACCCACGGTCAGAGAGTCTCAAAACTCCAGACCGTCGCGTTAGCCACTGGACCAGCTAGCTGATCCAATCCCGCCCGTGGTATGGTTCAATCTCGCCCATAGTTAGTTTAGTTTAATATGTTTATTATGCACCCCATACCCATCCTGTGGGCGGAAGTCAAAAGATTACAGAGGTACATAATTGGTCCAGGGACTGGGCCTCAAAGTTTTGATAGCTGAGCAAGTTACAGAGGTAATGAATTCACAATTTACAAAGGTAATGAACTCACAATTTACAAAGGTAATGAACTCCAGGTAGGTCTAGTCACAATCATGACAAGTTACAAAGGTATTTACAGATTACAGAGGTACACAATGGGTCCAGGGACCGGGCTCCAAAGTTTTGATGGCTGAACTAGGTACACTTAGCTAGAGCTAGTCACGGCCACGCTGATGGGAGATTCGTTTGTAAAAACTTGCATTTGTGGTCCCAGTGGTGTCTATACTAACCTTCCTATGGTGTATAAATATACCTAGTTGGACAAATCTTATTGTAGCCAGCTGGCCCAGTGGCTAGCCGTCGGTCTGGCGTTTCATGACTGATGACTCACGAAATCGTAATGACACGATTGCAAACAAACCATACCACGGGCGGGATTTGAACCCGCGGTCAGAGTCTCAAAACTCCAAACCGTCGCGTTAGCCACTGGACTAGCTAGCCACAATAAGATTCATCCAACTAGGTATATTTCTACACCATAGGAAGGTTAGCACAGGCACCTCTATGACCACAAATGCAAGTTTTTACAGACGAATCTCCAGCTAGCGTGGCCGTGACGAACTCTAGCTCAGGTCCCCTCACTGTCGTCAACATGACTCACGAAATCGTAATGACACGATTGCAAACAAACCATACCACGGGCGAGATTTGAACCAGCGGTCTGGATATTCATCTGTAAAAACTTGCATTTGTGGTCACAGTGGTGCCTATGCTAACCTTCCTATGATGTAGAAATATACCTAGTTGGACGAATCTTATTGTGGCTAGCTGGTCCAGTGGCTAACCCGACGGTCTGGAGTTTTGAGACTCTCTGACCGCGGGTTCAAATCCCGCCCGTGGTATCGTTTTTTTATGACTGATAGCGGGTTCTGTCCCCACCCGGGGTATGGTTTGTTTGCAATCGTGTCATTACGATTTCATAAGTAATGCTGATTTATGGTAATACATTACAAAAATAATGCAGTGTATATGTCAAAAGCCAATCCTGAATCCATCATTCACTTATCAAACATCAACAGTTTGGAATTTTAGATTATAAGAGCTATGTCTCTCTATAATTCTTACAGTGTTGATTAAGTTCAGTACATTACAAGAAATATAGTGTTTTCGTGAATAATAATAATAATAATAATAATAATAATAATAATAATAATAATAATAATAATAATAATAATAATAATAACATAATAATTATTTCTACAAGTACATGTACAGTGTATACTGGTGGCCCGGTGGCCTGGTGGCTAAAGCTCCCGCTTCACACACGGAGGGCCCGGGTTCGATTCCCGGCGGGTGGAAACATTTCGACACGTTTCCTTACACCTGTTGTCCTGTTCACCTAGCAGCAAATAGGTACCTGGGTGTTAGTCGACTGGTGTGGGTCGCATCCTGGGGGACAAGATTAAGGACCCCAATGGAAATAAGTTAGACAGTCCTCGATGACGCACTGACTTTCTTGGGTTATCCTGGGTGGCTAACCCTCTGGGGTTAAAAATCCGAACGAAATCTTCTCTCTCTTACAGGCCTAGATGACATCAATGACATACTACTGTATAGAAAGCCCCTTGTTGTGCAGAGCATTTCGGGCAAATTAAGTCAGTTTTGTCCCCAGGATGCGACCAACACCATTCGACTAACACCCAGATACCTATTTTACTGATAGGTGAACATGGACAGCAGGTGTATTAATGTTTCCAATCATACCGAGGATCGACCCCCAGACCTCAGTGTGTGACTCACGAAATCGTAATGACATGATTGCAAACAAACCATACCACAGGTGGGGATAGAACCCGCGATCAGAGAGTCTCAAAACTCTAGACCTTTGCGTTAGCCACTGGGCCAGTGGCTAACGCGACGGTCTGGAGTTTGGAGACTTCTGATCGCAGGTTCTATCCCCGCCCGTGGTATGGTTTCTCATTGTGTGAGTTGAGTGTGCTGGCAATCGAACTACGAGACACTGATTTGTTTTTGATTCTTTGGTTATGATTCTAAATAAGTTATCCTCTAGAGTCTTAATTAAACTTGGTGTAATTACATCATTCAGATTTCCGCTTAGTTACCTGATCAGAAAAATAAACTATAATTACATTTCTTGATCAGAAAAAAGAACAAATTACAATCACATGGAATTTTGTATTAAATTATTTTCTTCAATTACTTCAAATTTTGCTAATGTTGAAATCATTGTTCAGTGTTCAAAATATGAACCAAATATTTTGGTTCATATAACCTATACAAATGTGACAGTGAACAAGCAAGAAGGGGAGGGGGTTGACCTGTACGTCACAGAGTCGCTGATATGCTGGGAACTACTAAATGCCTTAAATGATGAAGCTGAATTTCGGCAGTAAAGATCAAGAACCAAAACCTGGTCATTGTGGTTGTATACAAGCCTCTGGATGAAACTTCCCAACAATTCTAGGAACAGCTTTTGAAAATAGACCACTGTCTGGAAAATCTTCCAGCTCCTTCCCCAAACATCTTGCTTTTGGGGGATTTCAAGCTATGGCAACCTACTCAGATCACAACATAATAGAGGTTCAGACATATATGCGCAGGGTCCCAGACCAACAAAATGTGATCAGTCACGAGGAAGCCTTCACCAAATTCAACTTCAGTAACAAAAACATAAGGTGGGATCAAGTCAACCAGGTCCTAAATGATATAAGCTGGGAAGATATCCTAAGCAACATGGATCCAAACCTATGTCTAGAACAAATTAACTCTGTGGCACTCGAAGTATGCTCAAGGCATATTCCTTTAAGGAAAAGGAAGAGAAGATGGAAGCTAGAAAGAGAAAGGCACTCCCTATACAGGCAAAAGCAAAGAATAACAGAGCAGTTAAAAGAGGCCAGTATATCTGTAATACGAAGGGAGGCACTGGTCAGAGAAATAGCAATTATCAAACTAAAGCTAAAGGAATCTTACAGGAGTCAAGAAACACGGGAAGAACTAAAAGCCATAAATGAAATTGAAAGAAACCCAAAATATTTCTTTTCTTATGCAAAATCAAAGTCGAGAACAATATCCAGTAATTGGCCCCTACTTAGACAGCAAGGAAATGAGTGAGCTACTCTAGTCCCAATATGACTCGTTTTTTAGCGAGCCGCTAACCAGACTGAGAGTCGAAGACCTAAATGGATTTTTTATGATATTATCCTGATGCTAGATGACTTTGAAAAGGTGATAAATGACATGCCCATGCACTCTGCCCAAGGCCCAGACTCATGGAACTCTGTGTTTATCAAGAACTCAAGAAGTCCCTATTGTGTGCTTTTAACATCCTATGGAGAAGGAGCATGGACAAAGGGGTCATCCCACAGCTGCTAAAAACAACAGACATAGCCCCACTCCACAAAGGGGGCAGTAAAGCAATAACAAAGAACTACAGACCAATAGCACTAACATCCCATATCATAAAAACCTTTGAAAGAGTTCTAAGAAGCAAGATTGCAACCCATCTAGATACCCATCAGTTAAACAACCCAGGGCAACATGGGTTTAGAGCAGGTCGCTCCTGCCTGTCTCAGCTACTGGACCACTATGATATGGTCCTGGATGCTCTAGAAGACAAACAAAATGCAGATGTAGTATTCATAGACTTTGCAAAAACTTTCGACAAGTGTGACCATGGTGTAATAGCGCACAAAATGCATGCCAAAGGAATAACAAGAAAAGTTGGTAGATGGATCTATAATTTCCTAACAAATAGAACAAAAAGAGTAGTAGTCAACAGAGTAAAGTCTAAGGCAGCAACGGTGAAAAGCTCTGTTCCACAAGGCACAGTACTCGCTCCCATCTTGTTTCTCATCCTCATATCTGACATAAACAGGGATGTAAGCCACAGCTTTGCATCTTCCTTTGTAGATGACACCTGAATTTTGCATGACAGACACTGCTAGACTCCAGGCGAACATCAACCAAATCTTTAAATGGGCCTCAGAAAACAATATAAATTTCATTGATGAGAAATTTCAATTACTCCGATATGGAAAACGTGAGGAAATTAAAACTTCGTCAGAGTATAAAACAAATTCCAACCACACAATAGAGCAACAAACTAATGTAAAAGACCTGGGAGTGATAATGCCAGAGGATCTCACCTTCAAAGACTACAACATTGTATCAATTGCATCTGCTAGAAAAATGACAGGATAGATAATGAGAATCTTCAGGACTAGGGATGCAAAACCTATGATGACACTCTTCAGGTTGCTTGTTGTATCTAGGCTGGAATATTGTTGCACACTGACAGCACCTTTCAAGGCAGGTGAAATTGCTGACCCAGAAAATATACAGAGGGGCCACAAATTGTATCAGATCACTTTCTAGTTGTAGCTACAGTGAGAGTGAAAGGTAGATGGG